GAAGAAATATTGTTCAGATTATTTATTATTATTATTATTTAGATATTACTCATACTCTAGCCTTAATTTATCTAGCAACTTGTAATATTTCAGGGCCTCTATTTTACTCCATTCAGTCGTGTAATTAAATTACTTCACTCTCTATTTGTTTAGAACGCTGTGACTTCTTTAAGTCTGTCTACTGGCGGCGAGTGCATGATTGATTGTCCAGATAAACATTGTCAGCCCGAGGCCTGCTGTCCAAATGGCAGTGCACCGATAGCTTTGAATCACTTTGGCTCTTCTGCTGCCGAATATTTGACATCTCAGAACTCCGAGCTCCCAGCTTGTCAGCTTATGCCATCCGGTGAGACCCTGCTCAAGTCAAACAGGTCTAAGTTTAGCCACGCAACTGGTTCCGAGGTCTTTCAAGTCGATGAGACACTTAATCTAGCTGGTAGCCCATGGGGTCGAGTCTAGATCTTCCCCACTCCCATAAAAAGGGAAGACAGCCCATATGGTTTCCAACTGGCTATTCTATTCCCTTGTTGGCGCACATTCTCGCACAAGCGCGCACACAGGCATCATCGTTTAGGCGATTATACCCTTGTCTATGTACATTGTCTTATTCTATTTCGATGTACCTTACGTTCCATCCTCGTTCTATTTTCCAATTTTCTTCATTCCTCTATTTTTCTGTCACCCTCTTTTCATATTCCTTATTCGGATCCGTATTCCTCGCATTTGAGTGGCTTATCTTCTTTCTTACCAATTTATCTTTGTACATCATTCCAACTCAACTTCTTAGCCACCTATTGGTCTGCATATCTGGTCATCATTAATCACTAGCCCTCAGTGCTGTCTTATCCATGTAGCTATTTTTATTTCAAAAGACTCTATGTTCTTCTCTCAGTAGGTAACTCTGAAGCAATTAATCGATTAAATTTTTTCCCCAATTTTCCCTTTAATTTATGTGTCATCAGGCAACCAATGTCGATCGTTTCCTAATCTAGGCTCTAGCTGAAAGGTGGAATCTAAGCTTCCATTGTTGATATTCATAGCATTTTAAATAGTCATTTCTCACCTTTTTCTCTGGCGTTTTTGATTTTTTTTATCCGTTGATGCTTATATATATACTTAATTGTGAAGCGCCATATTTTCCGCCTTTTTGTAGTTTGCCTTTCAGCTCCGAGAATGATAAAAGCCAATCAGATTGGGATTTTGCTGATAACGTTATGATGATTATTGAAAGACCATTTTATAGGTCGCTTAACTTTAAAACATGTGGTTTCATCGTGTTGATTCTTTATTTTCATGAAATTTTTCACCTCTTCTTAATCTTCCCTCCACCTTTTTTGATCATGGTGGACTTATTGCCATTTATATTATGCTTATGATCGTGCATATTTGCTTGTGTATTAAACATTTGTACGTGTTTACTCACTTCTTTTCGCTTTTATCGCTTCCTCTTATTGTTATTTCATCATTTATTTGCCACGTAGTATACTAATTCTACTTTGTATTAGCGTTAGTTCGGCTGATGCTTTTTCACTCCTTCCTGTACTAGTTTTCTCTATACACCTAACTACCATCTGATTTGTAATGCATATCTCATCTTTATTTTTATTATTTTCTTTATTTTTCACATGTTTGAAGCGAATCTTTTGATCGACGTGGTTGCCATAAGGCCCAATTATCTATAGCCTATTACAAACTTATGCTTTTCTATTTTATTCACTTTCACACATAATAACTTGATAAAATTAACTTTTTTATTTATTTTTCATCTTTTTCCATTTATTTCCCAAATCTATTAACTTTCTTTCTCATTTGTACTATAGGATGAAACTCTCCTATATTGTCTCACAAATTAACGCCATTTAATTTACTTTCACTTTGCCGCTCGTGCTCTTACGAATATCTCCGTCTTCAACTAAAGGTAAATGGGTTGTTGACGCCAATTTGAATAAATATAGTCAGCGAGGAAATAGCCAGACCTTTACTTTTGGCTCCACGACCAAACCGCTGGAGATTATACATCTCCTGTCAGAGAGCTTGATTTGTAGACATGTATTGTCACAACCAATAAACTCTTTTTGATTATTGGCTACATTTTATCTGGAAATGTGCATTCTGAAAATGTTTGCACATGTTTTACTTAGTTAAAACCATTTCATTTATCTCAACCAAAGGTTTGAGCTCTAAAGAAAAGGAATTCTCATGAATTGAAACCTTACCTACAAGATATTGGCATTTAAAAATTCATTTGATGTTTTACTTTTTCACGATAAGACTATTGGCGGATTGTATGGGCATTTTTTAAGTCCTAAAATATACTAAGCAAGTTTGATGATCATGTTTATTCTTGCTTGTATACGAATCCGTAATCAAGATTATCCCTAATATAATTTTTTTAATGCGCAAATATTAAACAAATCTGTTTTTACATAAACTTTAAACTACAGAAAATTAGGCTTGACAATGGTGGAGCTTCCTATCGTTTCCATGTGTAGTTCTAGCCTGCCGGAAGCGGAATGTCCCTTACTGCTCACAAACTCAATCAATTAATTCATAAATATCATTTATTAACTCAATAATAGGTATTATTTGTTTCCATCTCTTTCTGCTTGTTAGCTTTGCATGTGGTTTGTATTTATTGGGTTGCGTTCACCCTTTTTTATTCAATTGATCAAGGGACTGGTAGTTGAATTTTTCCACAATATGAATAGACCTTACACTTTCACAGAATTTCACACGACCTTTTTTTTCTCAAACTTGGTGGACTGCAGTTTCGACCTCGCTTAGGTCTTATCAT